TGTCACCACAACACACCTGTAGCCACAGTACTTACACTTGTCACACACAACACACACCTGTAGCCACAGTACTTACACTTGTCACCACAACACACCTGTAGCCACAGTACTTACACTTGTCACCACAACACACCTGTAGCCACAGTACTTACACTTGTCACCACAACACACCCTGTAGCCACAGTACTTACACTTGTCACCACAACACACCTGTAGCCACAGTACTTACACTTGTCACCACAACACACCTGTAGACACAGTACTTTACACTTGTCACCACAACACACCTGTAGACACAGTACTTACACTTGTCACCACAACACACCTGTAGCCACAGTACTTACACTTGTCACCACAACACACCTGTAGACCACAGTACTTACACTTGTCACCACAACACACCTGTAGCACAGTACTTACACTTGTCACCACAACACACCTGTAGCAACAGTACTTACACTTGTCACCACAACACACCTGTAGACACAGTACTTACACTTGTTACCACAACACACCTGTAGCCACAGTTCTTACACACTTGTCACCACAACACACTTGTAGTAACAGTACTTACACTTCTCACTACAACACACTTGTAGCAACAGTACTTACACTTGTCACCACAACACACACCTGTAGCCACAGTACTTACACTTGTCACCACAACACACCTGTAGACACAGTACTTACACTTGTCACCACAACACACCTGTAGACACAGTACTTACACTTGTCACCACAACACACCTGTAGACACAGTACTTACACTTGTCACCACAACACACACCTGTAGCCACAGTACTTACACTTGTCACCACAACACACCTGTAGACACAGTACTTACACTTGTCACCACAACACACCTGTAGCCACAGTACTTACACTTGTTACCACAACACACCTGTAGACACAGTACTTACACTTGTCACCACAACACACCTGTAGCCACAGTACTTACACTTGTCACCACAACACACCTGTAGCCACAGTATTGCTTACACTTGTCACCACAACACACCTGTAGCCACAGTACTTACACTTGTCACCACAACACACCTGTAGCCACTAGTACTTACACTTGTCACCTACAAGATACACCTGTAGCCACAGTACTTACACTTGTCACCACAACACACCTGTAGCCACAGTACTTACACTTGTCACCACAACACACCTGTAGCCACAGTACTTACACACTTGTCACCACAACACACCTGTAGCCACAGTACTTACACTTGTCACCACAACACACCTGTAGCCACAGTACTTACACTTGTCACCACAACACACCTGTAGCCACAGTACTTACACTTGTCACCACAACACACCTGTAGCCACAGTACTTACACTTGTCACCACAACACACCTTTAGCCAGAGTACATACACTTGTCACCACAACACACCTGTAGCCACAGTACTTACACTTGTCACAACGATGCACCTATAGCCACAGTACTTACACTTGTCACAACGACATACCTGTTGCCACAGTACTTACACTTGTCACCACAACACACCTGTAGTAACAGTACTTACACTTGTCACCACAACACACCTGTAGCAACAGTACTTACACTTGTCACCACAACACACCTGTAGCCACAGTACTTACACTTGTCACCACAACACACCTGTAGCCACAGTACTTACACTTGTCACCACAACACACCTGTAGCCACAGTACTTACACTTGTCACCACAACACACCTGTAGCACACAGTACTTACACTTGTCACCAAAACACACCTGTAGCCACAGTACTTACACTTGTCACCACAACACACCTGTAGCCACAGTACTTACACTTGTCACCACAACACACCTGTAGCCACAGTACTTACACTTGTCACAACGATGCACCTATAGCCACAGTACTTACACTTGTCACAACGACATACCTGTAGCCACAGTACTTACACTTGTCACCACAACACACCTGTAGTAACAGTACTTACACTTGTCACCACAACACACGTTTAGCAACAGTACTTACACTTGTCACCAGAACACACAAGTTGCCACAGTACCTACGCTTGCCACCACAACACACCTGTAGCAAAAGTACCTACACTTGTCACCACACAACACACCTGTAGCCACAGTACTTACACTGGTCACCACAATACACCTTTAGCCAGAGTACTTACACTTGTCACCACAACACACCTGTAGCCACAGTACTTACACTTGTCACCACAACACACCTGTAGACACAGTACTTACACTTGTCACCACAACACACCTGTAGCCACAGTACTTACACTTGTCACCACAACACACCTGTAGACAGTCTACTTACACTTGTCACCACAATACACCTGTAGCCACAGTACTTACACTTGTCACCACAACACACCTGTAGCCACAGTACACTTACACTTGTCACCACAACACACCTGTAGCCACAGTACTTACACTTGTCACCACAACACACACCTGTAGCCACAGTACTTTACACTTGTCACCACAACACACCTGTAGCCACAGTACTTACACTTGTCACCACAACACACCTGTAGCCACAGTACTTACACTTGTCACAACAACACACCTGTAGCAACAGTACTTACACTTGTCACCACAACACACCTGTAGCCACAGTACTTACACTTGTCACCACAACACACCTGTAGCCACAGTACTTACACTTGTCACCACAACACACCTGTAGCCACAGTACTTACACTTGTCACCACAACACACCTGTAGTAACAGTACTTACACTTGTCACCACAACACACCTGTAGCCACAGTACTTACACTTGTCACTACAACACACCTGTAGCCATAGTTCTAACACTTGTCACCACAACACACCTGTAGGCAAAATACTTACACTTGTCACCACAACACACCTGTAGCCACAGTCCTTACACTTGTGACAACAACACACCTGTAGCAACAGTACTTACACTTGTCACCACAACACACCTGTAGCCAAAGTACTTACACTTGTCACCACAACACACCTTTAGCAACAGTACTTACACTTGTCACCAGAACACACACCTGTAGCCACAGTACTTTCTTACACTTGCTGCCACAACACACCTGTAGACACAGTACTTACACTTGTCACCACAACACACTGTACAACAATACTTACACTGTAGACACAGTACTTACACTTGCCACCACAACACACCTGTAGCCATAGTTCTAACACTTGTCACCACAACACACCTGTAGACACTCTACTTACACTTGTCACTGCAATACACCTGTAGCCACAGTACTTACACTTGCCACCACAACACACCTGTAGCCACAGCACTTACGCTTGTCACTAGAACACACTTGTAGCCACAGTACTTACACTTGCCACCACAACACACCTGTAGACACAGTACTTACACTTGTCACCTCAACACACCTGTAGCAACAGTACTTACACTTGTTACCACAACACACCTGTAGCAACAGTACTTACACTTGTCACCACAACACACGTTTAGCAACAGTACTTACACTTGTCACCAGAACACACAAGTTGCCACAGTACCTACGCTTGCCACCACAACACACCTGTAGCAAACAGTACTTACACTTGTCACCACAACACACCTGTAGACACAGTACTTACACTTGTCACCACAACACAACTGTAGCCACAGTACTTACACTTGATACCACAACACACCTGTAGACAGAGTACTTACACTGGTCACCACAATACACCTTTAGCCAGAGTACATAAACTTGTCACCACAACACACCTGTAGACACAGTACTTACACTTGTCACCACAACACATCTGTAACCAGAGTACTTACACTTGTTACCACAACACACCTGTAGACACAGTACTTACACTTGTCACCACAACACACCTGTAGCCACAGTAATTACACTTGTCACCACAACACACCTGTAGCCACAGTTCTAACACTTGTCACCACAACACACCTGTAGACACAGTACTTACACTTGTCACCACAACACACCTGTAGCCACAATTCTAACACTTGTCACCACAATACACCTGTAGCAACAGTACTTACACTTGTCACCACAACACACCTGTAGCAATAGTTCTAACACTTGTCACCACAACACACCTGTAGCCACAGTGCTTACACCTGTTACCACAACACACCTGTAGACACAGTACCTTCACTTTCACCGCAACACACCTGTAGCAACAGTACTTATACCTGTCACAACAACACACCTGTAGCCACAGTACTTACCACAACACACAGCAATCAGACCAATATCATGTAACTTCCAGCTGTGACATACAATAGTCTGTAGATCCAAGATAAGGTGAACAATTACAGACATTCAAATGTAACTTCCAACTTAGACATACAAAAAAGTATCGAGGTCCAGGATAAGGTGAACAATTACAGAGAACCACATGTGCCCCAAACTTTGACATACAATAGTCTGGAGGTCCAGGATAAGGTGATCAATTACAGAAAACCATTTGTGCCCCCAACTGTGACATACAATAGTCTGGAGGTCCAGGATAAGGTGAACAATTACAGAAAACCACATGTGCCCCCAACTGCGACATACAATAGTCTGGAGGTCCAGGATAAGGTGAACAATTACAGAAAACCACATGTGCCCCCAACTGTGACATACAACTCAACGACTCTTCTCCAAGGTTGCCTTAACAGGAATACAGCCATACTGTTAACATTAATCAAATTAATGTCCTGTGCAATGCCCTATTTTGACCATGCGTTTGTTTTCTTTCTTCAGGTGCACATTGACATGCCATTGAATTTGCATGTGTTTGTGTCAGACTCCGCCATTGGGGCGAGATACGATCACCCTTTGACGAGCACCTTGTGTCATCACAGTTCGATACCATTCAGTAGATCATGCTTGTGTCGGTACAGTTGATACCATTCAGTAGGTCGTGCTTGTGTCCTTGTGTTCTTTTGTAAATAGCTACACATTTACATCATAATCGTGCAAAACACATTCATGAAAACACGATTATATATATTTGCAGATACATTTTTAAAACACTTTAAGCTTCTGTGAAGTTGACATGTGTTCAGAAGGTAAACGAATATAAAGGACAGCGAGCTACACTCCCACTCATTCGTCATGAAGGTAGCTTTTGTTCTTGGAGTGTTGGCTGCAGTTGGTAAGTACATGAGCTCATGAGGAGAGAGAGTGCCTATATAACGAAAGAGTCTGTTACTGTCTATACTTACGTAAAGTCTACAACATGGTGTATGAACATGGAAAGACGGTGCAATACGGTATGTTGGTCAATACAACTGTTGTTCAGAATACAGGCTGGTACCTTACGGTATGTTGGTCAACACATTCGTTGTTAAGAATACAGGCTGGTGCCCTAGGGTATGTTGGTCAACACATCTGTAGTTAAGAATACAGGTTGGTGCCCTAGGGTATGTTGGTCAACACAAATGTTGTTCAGAATACATGTTGGTGCCCTACGGTATGTTGGTCAAGACATCTCCTGTTTAGAATACAGGCTGGTACCCAACGGTATGTGGAAAACATGTTGGTCAACACATCTGTTGTTAAGAATACAGGCCGGTGCCCTACATTATGTTGGTCAACACATTTGTTGTTCAGAATACAGGCCGTTTCCCTACGTTATGTTGAGCAACACATTTGTTGTTCAGAATACAGGTCGGTGCCCTACGGTATGTTGGTCAACACATTTGTTGCTTAGAAGACAGGTTGGTGCCCTACGGTATGTCGGTCAACACATCTGTGTTAAGAATACAGGTTGGTGCCCTACGGTATGTTGGTCAACACATCTGTTGTTTAGAATACAGGTTGGTGCCCTACGGTATGTTGGTCAACTCATCTGTTGTTCAGAATACAGGGTGGTGCCCTACAGTATGTTGGTAAACATGTTGGTTAACACATCTGTTGTTCAGAATATAGGTTGGTGCCCTACCTTATTCTGACAAACACATCTATTGTTCAGAATGCAGGCTGGTACCCAACGGTATGTGGTAAACATGTTGGTCAACACATCTGTTGTTAAGAATACAGGCCGGTGCCCTACATTATGTTGGTCAACACATTTGTTGTTCAGAATACAGGCCGTTTCCCTACGTTATGTTGAGCAACACATTTGTTGTTCAGAATACAGTGCCCTGGTTGTTGGTCAGAATTTGTTGCAGGTCAGGTTGCCCTACGGTATGTTGGTCAACACATTTGTTGTAAGAATACAGGTTGGTGCCCTACGGTATGTTGGTCAACACATCTGTTGTTTAGAATACAGGTTGGTGCCCTACGGTATGTTGGTCCACTCATCTGTTGTTCAGAATACAGGGTGGTGCCCTACAGTATGTTGGTAAACATGTTGGTTAACACATCTGTTGTTCAGAATACATATTGGTGCCCTACGTTATGTTGGTCAACACATTTGTTGTTCAAAATACATGTTTGTGCCCTATATACTGGTCAACACATCTGTTGTTCAAAATACATGTTGGTGCCTTACGGTATGTTGGTCAACACATCTGTTGTTTAGAATACACGTTGGTGCCCTATATACTGGTCAACACATTTGTTGTTCAAAATACATGTTGCAGCCTTACGGTATGTTGGTCAACACATCTGTTGTTCAGAATACAGGTTGGTGCCTTACGGTATGTTGGCAACACATCTGTTTTCAGAATACAGTTTGGTGCACTATTTACTGGTCAACACATCTGTTGTTCAAAATACATGTTGGTGCCCTTCGTTATGTTGGTCAACACATTTGTTGTTCAAAATACATGTTGGTGCCCTTCGTTATGTTGGTCAACATATTTGTTGTTCAAAATACATGTTGGTGCCTTACGTTATGTTGGTCAACACATCTGTTGTTTAGAATACATGTTGGTGCCCTATATACTGGTCAACACATTTGTTGTTCAAAATACATGTTGGTGCCTTACGGTATGTTGGTCAACACATCTGTTGTTTAGAATACACGTTGGTGCCCTATATACTGGTCAACACATTTGTTGTTCAAAATACATGTTGGTGCCCTTCGTTATGTTGGTCAACACATCTGTTGTTCAGAATACATGTTGGTGCATTATATACTGGTCAACACATTTGTTGTTCAAAATACATGTTGGTGCCCTTCGTTATGTTGGTCAACACATTTGTTGTTCAGAATACATGTTGGTGCCTTTCGTTATGTTGGTCAACATATTTGTTGTTTAGAGTACATGTTGGTGCCCTATATACTGGTCAACACATCTGTTGTTCAAAATACATGTTGGTGCCTTACGTTATGTTGGTCAACATATTTGTTGTTTAGAGTACATGTTGGTGCCCTATATACTGGTCAACATATCTGTTGTTCAAAATACATGTTGGTGCCCTCCGTTATGTTGGTCAACATGTTTGTTGTTCAGAATACAGATTGGTGCCCTACGGTATGTTGGTCAACACAATTGTTGTTCAAAATACATGTTGGTGCCCTACGGTATGTTGGTCAACACAATTGTTGTTCAAAATACATGTCGGTGCCCTATATACTGGTCAACACATTTGTTGTTCAGAATACATGTTGGTGCCCTACGGTATGTTGGCCAACACATTTGTTGTTGAGAATACATGTTGGTGCCCTTCGTTATGTTGGTCAACATATTTGTTGTTCAAAATACATGTTGGTGCCCTTCGTTATGTTGGTCAACACATTTGTTGTTCAGAATACATGTTGGTGCCCTACGGTATGTTGGTCAACACATTTGTTGTTCAGAATACATGTTGGTGCCTTACGTTATGTTGGTCAACACATTTGTTGTTCAGAATACATGTTGGTGCCTTACGGTATGTTGGTCAACACATTTGTTACATACGTTATATTTGGGATTACACTTTCTTATACCCCCTTCACACTTGAGGCGAAATGAGTCGGAGTGCCGTCGGAATGAAAATTCCTGAAAATTCGAACTGCATTCCGAATGCACTCCAACTATTCGTGTCAATTCTTGTAACATGTTCAAAACTTTCGAGGTACATTCGAAGTGGAAAAATATCGAACAGCATTTGAAGTGCGTTCTAACTGCATTCTAAGTATTCTTACTGCATTCTAACTGCATTCTAATTATTCTAAACGTATTCGAGGGAGAATTTAAAAAGCAAGCCACTTCAAATCCTGCAAGAATGTCCCGAATGCGCCTCAAATGTATTTCGATTGCTGGTGGAATTTAGGTGAATTACACCTCAAACGTATCGGAATATTTCGATTGTATTTGGAATACAGCTCGAATGTACATCGAATGCACCCCGAATACAGTCAGAGCGTCTCTAATGCTCTTCAAATGAGCCCTGGAGTCATCAGAACACCGCCGAATCCCTTAAAAACGTCACTGAAACTTCAGACATCATTCACACCTTCAAGCTGCGCAAGTTGTCTCCAGCCATACCATTGTGGAGATTAGGATAGCGAGTCCTCATCAAGTTGTGCAGGCAGACACAACATTCAATGATGTCCTTCACAACGGAAGGCCTTGGCAGCATGGTGGTGAGGAGGATTTGCCAACTGTGGACCATGATTCCAAATGCCCCGTCGGCCCCGACTGATCCTGTAGTTGTTGATTCTCTTGTCTCTCTGGAGAGTCATATGACCATACGGTTTCATCAAGAAGGCTCTTAATCCAAAGGCATCATCTCCCAGAATATAGCATGGCATACGCTAGTCGTATTGTGGTAAGGAGAACGGATCAGGAAATCCTATGCTCCCGTCTTCAAGACAATCCTTGAGCTCGCACTTGTTGGAGATCTGAGCATCAGACATACTTCCGTAAGCACCAACGTCCGCCCACAAGGGCCATTTGGACCACAGAAAAGAAGCCCTTGTAGTTGTGGTACAATGAGCTGCCCTTGGCTAGGTTTCCTAATGGCCACATGTTTGTCATCTAAAGCTCCTACGGCATGAGGTATGTTCCACCTGTTCCTGAATACCCCTTCAATGGGTGTCCATTCCTCTGGAGTGGTAGGGCAGATGATAACCTCATCCTTGTATTCCCCCAAATGACCTTACATACTTCTGAGATGATCAGGTTGATTGTGTTCCTTGCCTCGCGGAAGCTGTACATGATGCTTGGGTATCACCTGAAGCCAGGAACCTCAATGTGAAGGCCAGCTTCAAGCCTGGAGGTAGCACCTTTCTCATACATGTATCCTGCTTCTGTATTCTTGGTCCCACTTTCTGCACCAACTTATCAAACATGGCAGGCTCCAGCCTAAGGTAGTTGAAGAATGACTGCGTGTCCCCAACCCTGAGCTCTTCCATCAGTCTTGTGTAATGTCAAACAGCCTCCTCCTTTCCTCTGTCAGCCATGGTCTGGTCTGGAATCTCCTGAGTCTTCTCCTGTTTCTTTTCCACGTCTCTTTCAATCTGGGCTTGCTGGAGGACAGCAATCGGGACCACCGCAACATGGTCCAGGTGGTCCATACTCTATGGGAGTTGGGCAGTGACTGATGAATAGTCACGATTCAACCGGTTTTTATACCCCATCGTGGAAGATTCCGGCAGCATTCTTGATGCATACTGACATTCGTGTTACATTCTAAGTGCATTTTAAGCACATTTGAAATATTCGAGCTGCATTCTGTTTTAATTCTTAAAAATTCGACCCATATTCGGGGGCCATTCCAAGAAGGTTCTGAATGCATTCTATGTAAATTCGTGTAGCATACGAGGTACGTTCTAACTGAAATTCGAGTGCTATTCACGCAGCAATCGAACCGGACTCGTACTGCAGTCGAAATTCATCTTAGTGTATTCTAACGGCGTTCTAGTTATTCCTACTGTATTCCGATTCATTCGAACTACATTCGTGATCTACATTTGGAATGAGTAAGAATAATTCGAGGCGGGTTTCTAAGTGCGTTCTAAGTATTCCAACAGCATTCTTACAAAGCTTGAAAAAATTTGTGTATTTAGACATTCTCTCCCGAATGCGGTTCGAATTTCTGTCTGATTCTCCTTGATTCCTGTCAATACGAAATAAGTGTGAAGGACCCTTTAGTAAAGTACAGATTGTAGTACTGTTTTGGGTTGAGTCCCATCCGGGATTCGAACCCACGCGATTAGGTGCCTGACTCTGAGGGTGTGGGTTCGAATCCCGGATGGGACTCAACCCAAAAAGTACTGGAATCTGTGACTTTACTAAGAAAGTGTAATCCAAAATATAACGTATGTTACATTTGACCACTTTCTAAAATGGCATTGTGTATTTCAACACATTTGTTGTTCAGAATGTATGTCATGGCACCACTGTCTTTGACAATACTTGTAGGTCAACTGAACCTTCCGTCAAACGAACACTACCAAGGTTGACATTCTGGGCTATGCGTGTCAGGAATCGAGTGGCATCGTTTATTGTGACCATTACACTGCGCAGTAGAAGCTATAGTGTCTCTGTGTAAAGTCACTTACAATGACAGGGAACGGCAGTTCCGGGATCATGTATTTGGCGAAAAGGGGCGTAACTCCCAAAAGGTCATTTACGGACATGTGGTACGGCACACTGACATGAGCTGAGACGCAATGAGGTAGCTTGCAGCAGGGTTTAACTGGGTTCAAAACGGCCCCTTTCCTGGAAGAGCGTTTGCGACAACAACACCAGAAATGTTCCAACCAACTACAGAGAGGACAGACAAGAGAATGGGCATCATATCAATAGATTCTCCCAGGAGAGAGTGCAGTCCGGCATTACAGACACATTGACAATGAAGATTCCAAGGCATCTCACATTTGATCAAAATTACGCCAGACACAATATCTCTTGGTAGTGTAGCTCTGTTTGAAGGCGATCCAGGGCCTTGTCAAATTGAAAGCAGTATGTGAAATAGTGAAATGGGAGGATATTCTATGTGTCTAGTGAAATATGATACATCAGTCACCGAGGAACGTCAACAACGTTATCTTCTCACCAGTACCCATGACGTCAACAACGTCATATTTTCACAAGTGCCAATCACGTCAACAACGTCATATTCTCACCAGTGCCCATCACGTCAACAACGTTATATTCTCACAAGTGCCCATCACGTCAACAACGTCATATTCTCACCAGTGCCAATCACGTCGACAACGTCATATTCTCACCAGTGCCCATCACGTCGACAACGTCATATTCTCACAAGTGCCCAACAAGTCAACAACGTCATATTCTCACCAGTGCCCATCACGTCAACAACGTTATATTCTCACCAGTGTCCATCACGTCAACAACGTTATATTCTCACCAGTGCCCATCACGTCGACAACGTCATATTCTCACAAGTGCCCAACAAGTCAACAACGTCATATTCTCACCAGTGCCCATCACGTCAACGTCATATTCTCACAAGTGCCCAACAAGTCAACAACGTCATATTCTCACCAGTGCCCATCACGTCAACAACGTCATATTCTCACCAGTGCCAATCACGTCAACAAGGTCATATTCTCACCAGTGCCCATCACGTCGACAACGTTATATTCTCACCAGTGCCCATCACGTCAACAACGTCATATTCTCACCAGTGCCCATCACGTCAACAACGTTATATTCTCACCAGTTCCCATCACGTCAACAACGTTATATTCTCACCAGTTCCCATCACGTCAACAAAGTCATATTCTCACCAGTGCCCATCACGTCAACAACGTCATATTCTCACCAGTGCCCATCACGTTAACAAGGTCATATTCTCACCAGTGCCCATCACGTCAACAACGTCATATTCTCACCAATGCCCATCACGTCACTCGATAACAGATGCATCAGGTTTCACTGTACACGAGAAATATTTGTATTAGGTGTTGATTCCCAAGTTAACCGGAAATCAGTCCTTATAAGAAACAAACAATAAAGAAATGTGACATAACAGTTATATTGTGTCAGTTATGGACAATTGTATTCTAAAAGTAACGATGTAAAGATCAGTAGAAAGGGATTACGATGGCAGTTCAAGCAGAGTGACAAAACATATAGAAGGCATATACAAAACATATACATATACAATATTATATACTCTCCCAAAAAAGAAACGCATATACATTTTCCCGAATTTCATCTACTAACTTTAAAGTGTGACAGCACATGTAATAATTTCCCACAGTATAAAGATCAATATCTGTTGTGGCCACCATGAGTCCCCAAAACTTCTCTGCGCCGTCTCGGCATGGACTGAATAAGTCTTTGAATAAGAAGCACTGTAAAGTAAACAGCAGTAATTGCCCTGAAGGCGCTCAAAGTTAGATTTCTGCGGGTAGGATAAGGCTCTCCACATTATGACACTCCCACCACCATATCTGTCAACATGGGCGACAGAGTTCCGGGCTAATCGTTCATTTCGACCTCGATAGACTTGTACTCTTCAGTCACATCACTGAAGCAGAAAGCGTGATTCATCCCTAAACCATACACGTCGTCAGTTCCAGAATCGAACGTTGTTGCATCGATGTAGTCGTTGCAGCACGGGGCCAAAATAGGGTCTCCTGGTTCCAAGTCCAGCTATTTGTACACGATTACAACTGGTTTGCGCAGTGACCTCAAACCAGGCACTAAACTTGCAGTTGAAGTAGCTGTGACAGTTCCATTCGGCAAATGAAGTACCCGGATGTACCGTCCGTAATCCGAGGTCTACCACTTCGAGGTCGATATTGCGTGGAATTGATTTGTTGATATCGGTCCCATAAACGAATGATGGTACTCTGGTGAACATTGAGGTGACGTGCAACGCCCCCAGACGTCCAATGACAATGCTTCGATTTACAGTAGTGATTCGCAGCATAACGATATTCTTTCATTTACCCACATGCAAAACAGCCATATAAGCAGTGTCACTTCCCACGATTCTTCAGAACTGCACGTGCACTTTTTCTCCATGACATTTTCATGCGAGTTGATACTTTAGAACGTAAACGTGCATTAAAGTTTCCGAAGATGCGTTTTCGCATTCGTTCCAAACCAGCATTAAAATGGCGAAATTATAACAATCAAACACTAAATTTGAAAAATGCTTGATATTTCATACATCAATATCTCCCACGTGTTTCTTTTTGGAGAGAGTAAGAAGAGATTATAGCAATAAAGACAATGATCAAATTCAATATTACATTCACCAAGTAGCATCAGGTGTCAAACGTCCAGTGTTGACTTGGCTGAGAACCCATGGAGAAAGTGATCTTCACGGAACTGCTGGTAGTATATAGTGTAACTTCATGTGTTGTCCGACTGAGAACCCATGGAGAAAGTGATCTTCACGGAACTGCTGGTTGTATATAGTGTAACTTCCAGTGTTGTCTGCCTGAGAGCCCGTGAAGAAAGTGATTTTTACGGAACTGCTTGTCGTATATAGTGTAACTTTCAGTGTTGTCTGGCTGAGAGCACGTGAAGAAAGTGATCTTCACGGAACTGCTGGTTGTATATAGTGTAACTTCCAGTGTTGTCCGGCTGAGAGCCCGTGAAGAAAGTGATCTTCACGGTACTGCTGGTCGTATATAGTGTAACTGTTGTTTAGCTTTCCACGATATTCTCGGTTAGTTTATGCTTGAAAAAGCGTTATTTCTTAAACTGAACATATGTGAATAATACTTTTACAACCAGTTTTGTAGAAATGGTATGACGAGGAGCTCGAGGAGCTCACATATGATGCATGTTTTGGACTTGTGACTACAGCCGATATATACGTTGTTTGTGTTGTAGCTGTCTCCGTCCAGGGGGAGACCTGCAACTCCGCCAGAGACTGTACCGTTACCCAGTGCAGCTCTGGTGGAACTCTCACGTGTGTGGCGGGAATATGCACGTGTACCAGCCTGTGTAGCCCCGAACCTAACCTAGGTAGGTGTGACTTCAGAGTGTGTGAAGTGTGTGTGTGTGTGCGAGCGCGCATGCGTTGTCTGTGTGTGAGAGAGTGTGTGTGTGACTGTGTGTGTGATGGTGGTTGTGTACTGATTTCCTGTTCACGTCAAACACTCTTGTCTAATTTAGGACAAGATCTTCAGTCATTTGAGTGAAAGGAAAGTGATGTGTCATATGTCAGTTAAGTAATTCCTTGTAAACATGTCACTACATTGATAAATATTTCTTTGTTAAAATAGCATAAAGTTGCCCTTCACACGATATATAGATGTGTATATAATGCCAGGCTGATTGTGTGTAACATCCGCCCGTATGTTCCTCCACCAGCAAGATGTAGAAGCCAGACTGATTGCCGTGACGCTTACAACCAGGGCCAGATAGCCTGCACGTGCCAGCCTATCTCTGACCTCCACTGTATTGACGGAGAATGTCACTGTGGCTACCCATCGTAAGTATACAACCTCCACTGTATTGACTCCCGCTGTTTCTGTGGCTACCACTCGTAAGTATATAACCTCCACTGTATTGACTGGCAATGTCACCGTGGCTACCCATCGTAAGTATATAAGTATAGGGATTTGGAGGACGGTGAAACTCTTTTAATGTTTGACATTTCTGTAAAGCACACAAAGGTTGATTACTTTATACTTACTTGTTAGCTAGGATGTTCTGTATTCTGATGCATGGTGTACATTGATGACGTCAACGAATGTTTCTGTTTCAGCAATAACTGAAGGTAACTGATGAAGTCATCGGTTGAAGCCGTTCGTGTAGATCAACTTAACCGCTGTTCTCGCATTTGATTATATTATTATAAAAAATATTTAAATGAGATATCATACATTAAACATAGCAGGAAGAAACAACAGCACATATTTTCTCGGTAAACACCAACTGGTCAAACACAACAAGGGAGACTACTCGGTCTGCTGTTTAATTAGTCCTCCACAAGTGAAACGAAGTAGCGGAAACCATGAAAGACATCGTCGATGCTTGATACGTTGCCGATATGAAGACGAGGCAGTGCACTGAGCCCATGGTTTTAGACAGGAAATGCTGGACACGGGTGGCACAGTAGGCGAAGGTGCCGTGTTTAGTTGTGTATTTAGTAGGTTTCGTCCCTCGAGTGTCACAGAACCTGTGAGGAAGATTTGAACCCCTGATGACCTCGAGTGTGTCTGCACCATACGCTTCGGGAAAGGAGTAGACGTTTGAGATCTGCATGACTGCGCCACATCTGGCTGACAGTCACATAACTGAAATACTGTTTAAACTCACTCACCCGAGAGGTCATGTTCAATCAGCTTTCGCAGACAATTTCTGCATTCAGACTAGTTATACAATGAATGAAGCCGCCGAATGTTTCTCTAATCTGGTCGTGAGTTTCACTGATTCCAGATCTAGAACCTCATAACGTACATTGTTACCTGTTTGCCGCGTCTTTAACTAGCGTCATTTATCATTCAACATCCTGTATCTTGCCCTTGTTTGAGTGGCATGTAGAAGCTGGTATGATGAACAGGCACAACTTCTTTACTACAATGGATGCGACGTTTCAGTGTAGATGCTAAAACCGTTATCAAGCAACTTTCTTCCATTGCAATAATAAGTTGTCAATCCATTAAAAAAATTCATTCCTGAATCTTCCCCATCCAACAATTCAACACTTTGTTTGAATACAACGCCATCTCAACGCGCGATTAGCTTCATTTACAGACAGTAATATGATTGAACGATTCGTTTCTATTGTCACTCAGTAAGATAACTGTAACTTGGGCTGAAGTTTCCAGTTTCCAGACTGGTTGAGTGTAGACACTGGAACAATACGGCTTAGGCCTGTGTGGGTCTGGATCAGCTCCGCTTTCCCTAATGTTTCAGCGAAATCTCCGAGTGTCACCACCTCTTTGAATGTAATGGCTAATGTAATTGACGTAGAATGGTCTGCCGATAGAGATCATTATCTTCTCAAATACGGGATTCGCACACACATGATCGCGGAGCTTGTCACAACAAAATGTTTAAAGATGTGTTATTCCCAAACCAAATCAAGGAGAGGCGCCGATAACACATGGCCGAGACCTGCCGTATGTTGTTTCCCCTACTCAGTAGCACAGATGGACCTGCCGTATGTTGTTTCCTATATTCAGAAGCACAGATAGACCGGCCGTATGTTGTTTCCCCTACTCAGTAGCACAGATAGACCTGCCGTATGTTGTTTCCCCTACTCAGTAGCACAGATAGACCTGCCGTATGTTGTTTCCCCTACTCAGTAGCACAGATAGACCTGCCGTATGTTGTTTCCCCTACTCAGTAGCACAGATAGACCTGCCGTATGTTGTTTCCCCTACTCAGTAGCACAGATAGACCTGTGGTTCGTTAGTTTTTCAGTGAACTTAGTCGGAAAGCTGAACCGTTTCACACATAAATCTACAGGAACAGGTGTTGTGAATCCAATTCCTTCTCCTATGCTGAAGGTGAAGGTCGGTCTGAGAACTGGACCAGATGGCTGATTGTTATAAAGTACAACCAGAAAGTATTGAGAATTTAAAGATTGTAATGTTTTTATTTCTTTCACTCATTACTCACGTATTAAATGTGAATATTAGCAGAACATAACTCCAGATTCAAAGACAGGTGAACAGTTAGTATTTTGTCAAGTCACCATGGGCAGCAATGCAGGCTTCAATGCGGCGGGGCATACTACTTATCAAAGAAGTTAGAAAGTCGTGGTCTATGCTGTCCCAATATCGGACCACCTCTTCTTTCATTTCAGCAATATTTGTCAGATTTGTCTTATTGACACTTTCCTTCATGAGTCCCCAAACATTTTCTATTGGATTTAGGTCAGGGCTATATCTTGGCCAATCTAATAATGTCATATTTTGTGTTCGAAACCAGGCCTGTGAATGCTTTGAACGATGTTTGGGTCGTTGTCCTACTGGAAAATCCAAACATTTCCATCGAACACGTGAGCAGTTGGAAGTAAATGTCCCTCGAAAATATCTGTGTACCGCTCACTGTTCATATTCCTATTGGACTGTACTTTGCCACCCCACACGGTAACATTTCGGACGGCGCTGATACCAAGGCTTTTCTGTTTGTTTGGTCCAGAATTTCAGTGTATTAGGACACAGCCACACGGAACTTTCACCTGACAAAATCACATTGTCCCAGTTAAAATGTCTATGCTGTAAGCACCAATTCAACCTTCGCTGCCTTTTGTTCAGGTTTCATGATCGGTGATGGAATTCCTCAACTTTTCTGCGAACCCATTGCATGCAGCTCATGCCTCTAATTGTCTCCTTACAGACAGCCACAGTTCCTCTATCAATCATATCCAGCCTTAAGTTTTCTAAACTCCTTCGTTTGTTCTTAGAAATAAGAATACCAAGCCGCCTCCTGTCACCGACAGTTTTCTGGCCTACCTGCGCCTCCTGGTGCTCAATGTCATATCCATTTGCAATATTTTTTTCAAAACACGATAAACAGTAGACAGAAGGGTGCCTGTTCCACTGAAATCACTTTAGCTGATCTGATGTCCTTGTTATAATACTCTAAAATCAACTTCCACTTCTCTAAATCATCCATACTGAGGATCACTGAAAATATCGTCTGCTAGCAAGTAAACAAAGGGGGATAACTCTTTACAAACTAATGAAAAAGGATTAACGGAGATGTCTCTCTTGAATGAAACCAAGCACTTGATAGCTGGTCACGATTGTTTACACTAGAAATCCAAATAAACATATTCCTAAAATTCTAAATAATTTCTGGTCATACTATACATCTGCTGCTACCACCAAGGATACTTGCCTTGCCTGGTTTCCCCCTTTCTGGCGAACACCTGTTGTCATCACTACTTGCAAGAGATTCAGGAATGGATGTTTATGTTAGAGTAGCAATCGTACATTTGCTTTTTGTAGAGATCCCTGTGATTATTGAGAATTGTTTGGTCCTTTGTATTTACAGATAAGGCTAGCAGAGAAAGAGTGAGTGATTGAGTATTTACGCCGCGCTTGGCAATATTCCAGCAATATCACGGCAGGGGACAAAAGAAATGGGCGTCATGTGGAGAATCTAAATCGGGTCTTCGGCGTGACCAGCGAAAGCTGTAACCACACGGCTATCCACGATCCCGATAAAGATAGAGCTAATTTGAGACTGACCTCATTCACAATATTGAGGATTTAACACGCGTGACGTGTCTCTCCTTCAGCTGTGACCGATTCCACGGTATAGAGGATCGAGGGTCACATTATCTAGATGGAACTTGTCTTTACGTCAACAGCACTTACACCTATCTCCACAACACACCTGTAGCCAAAGTACTCACACTTGTCACCACAACACACCTGTAGACACAGTACTTACAGTTGCCACCACAACACACCTGTCGACACAGTACTTACACTTGTCCACCACAACACACCTGTACACACAGTACTTACACTTGTCACCACGGTACACCTGTAGCAAAGTACTTACACATGTCCCTACAACACACCTGTAGACACAGTACTTACACTTGTCACCACGGTACACCTGTAGCAAAAGTACTTACACATGTCCCTACAACACACCTGTAGACACAGTACTTACAGTTGTCACCACAACACACCCGTAGCAATAGTACTTACACTTGTCACCACAACACAACTGTAGACACAGCACTTACACTTGTCACCACAACACACCTCTAGCCACAGTACTTTTACACTTGTCACCACAACACACCTCTAGCCACAGTACTTACACTTGTCACCACAACATAACCTGAAGCTAAACAGTGCTTACACTTGTCACCACAACACACATGTAGCCAATATACTTTAACACTTGTCACCACAACACACCTGTAGACACATTACTTACATTTGTAACCACAACACACAGGTAGAAACAGTACTTACACTTGTCACCACAAAACACATGTAGCCACAGTACTTTACATTTGTCACCATAACACACCTGTAGACACAGTACTTACACTTGTCACCACAACACACCCGAAGACGAAATTACTTCCACTCTGTCACCACAACACACCTGTAAACACAGTACTTACACTTGCCACCACAACACACCTGTAGACACAGTACTTACACTTGTCACCACATAACACCTGTAGACACAGTACTTACACTTGTCACCACAACACAACTGTAGACATTGTACTTACACTGTCACCACAACACACCTGTAGCCACAGTACTTACACTTGTCACCATAACACTGACTGTAGACACAGTAATTTACACTTGTCAACCACAAATGTAACATAACTTCTTAAGCAAGCCAAACAGTAATTTCTGCACTACACTTGTCACCACAACACACATGTAGCCACAATACTAACACTTGTCACCACAACACACCTGTAGACACATTACTTTCATTTGTCACCACAACACACCTGTAGACACAGTACTTACACTTGTCACCACAACACACATGTAGCCACAGTACTTACACTTGTCACCATAACACACCTATGGAAAAAGTACTTACCCTTGTCACCACAACACACCGTAGCCACAGTACTTACACTAGACACCACAACACACCTGTAGCCACAATTCTTACGTTTGTCACCACAACACACCTGTAGCCACAGTAATTACAATTGTTACCACAACACACCTGTAGACACAGTACTTACACTAGTCACCACAACACAACTGTAGACAAAGCACTTACACTTGTCACCACAACACACATGTAGCCACAGTACTTACACTTGTCACCATAACACAACTGTAGACACAATACTTACACTTGTCACCACAACACACCCGAAGACGCAATACTTCCACTTGCTACCACAACACACCTATAGAAACAGTAATTACACTTGTCAACACAACATAACTGTAGCCACAATACTTACACTTGTCACCACAACACACCTGTAGCCACAGTACTTACATTTGTCACCACAACATACCTGTAGACACAGTACTTACACTTGTCACCACAATACACATGTAGCCACAGCACATACACTTGTCACCATAACACACCTGTAGAAACAGTACTTACACTTGTCACCACAACACACCCGTAACAACAGTACTTACACTTGTCACCACAACACACCTGTAGACATAGTACTTACATTTGTCACCACAACACACCTGTAGCCACAATATTTACACTTGTCAACACAACATACCTGTAGACAAAGAATTTACAATTGTCACCACAACACACCTGTAAACACAGTACTTACACTTGCAACCACAACACACCCGTAGCCACAGTACTTACACTTGTCACCACAACACACCTCTAGCCACAGTAACTACACTTGTCACCACAACAAACCTGTTGCCACAGTACTTACACTTGTCACCATAACACAACTGTAGAAACAGTACTTACACTTGTCACCATAACACACCTGTAGCCACAGCAATTACACTTGTTACCACAACAAACCTGTAGACACAGTACTTATATATTTGACACCACAACACAACTGTAGACACAGTACTTACACTTGTCACCACAACACACCTGTAGACACAGTACTTACACTTGCCACCACAACACAACTGTAGAAAAAGTACTTACACTTATAACCACAACACACCTGTAGACACATTACTCACACTAGTCAACACAACACACCTGTAGCCACATTAATTAGACTTCTCACTACAAAAAACCTGTAGCCACTGTACTGACACTTGTCACAACTACATAACTGTAGCCACAGTACTTACAATTGACACCACAACACACCTGCAGACACAGTACATACACTTGTCACCAGAATACAACTGCAGCCACATTACTTACGCTTGTCACCACAACACACCTGCAGCCACATTACTTACACTTGTCACAACATCACACCTGTAGCAACGGTGCTTACACTTGTCACCACAACACACCTGTAGCCACAGTCTTTACACTTCTCACCACAGCACACCTGTAGACACAGTACTTACACTTGTCACCACAACACACCTGTAGACACAGTACTTTCACTTGCCACCGCAACACACTGTAGACACATTCTTACATTTCTCACCACAACAAACCTGTAGCCACATTACTTCGACTTGTCACCACAACATACCTGTAGACACATTCTTACATTTGTCACCACAACACACCTGTAGCCACAGTTCTTACACTTGTCACCACAACACACCTGTAGACACAGTACTTACACTTGTCACCACAACACACCTGTAGCCACAGTCTTTACACTTTTGACCACAACACACCTGTAGACACAGTACTTACACTTGTCACCACAACACGCTTGTAGCCACAGTACTTACACTTGTCACCACAACACACCTGTAGACACAGTACTTACACTTGCCACCACAACACAACTGTAGAAAAAGTACTTACACTTATAACCACAACACACCTGTAGACACATTACTAACACTAGTCACCACAACACACCTTCAGACACAGTACTTACACTTGACAACACAAAACACCTTTAGACACATTACTTACACTTGATACCACAACACACTTTTAGCCAGAGTACTTTCACTTGACAACACAACACACCTGTAGACACAGTACTTTCACTTGCCACCACAACACACTGTAGACACATTCTTACATTTCTCACCACAACACACCTGTAGCCACAATACTTACACTTGTCACCACAACACAGCTGTAGACACAGTACTTACACTTGCCACCACAACACACCTGTAGAAAAAGTACTTACACTTATAACCACAACACACCTGTAGACACATTACTCACACTAGTCAACACAACACAACTGTAGCCACATTACTCACACTTGTCACCACAACAACCTACAACCACAGTACAAACACTTGTCACCACAAAACAACTGTAGCCACAGTACTTACAAATGTTACCACAACACACCTGTAGACACATTCTTACATTTGTCACCACAACACACCTGTAGCCACATTAATTAGACTTCTCACTACAAAAAACCTGTAGCCACTGTACTGACACTTGTCACAACTACACAACTGTAGCCACAGTACTTACAATTGACACCACAACACACCTGTAGACACAGTACTTACACTTGTCACTACAACACATTTAGCCAGAGTACTAACACTTCAAAACATAACACACCTGCAGACACAGTACATACACTTGTCACCAGAATACAACTGCAGCCACATTACTTACGCTTGTCACCACAACACACCTGTAGCCACAGTCTTTACACTTCTCACCACAGCACACCTGTAGACACAGTACTTACACTTGTCACCACAACACACCTGTAGACACAGTACTTTCACTTGCCACCACAACACACTGTAGACACATTCTTACATTTCTCACCACAACAAACCTGTAGCCACATTACTTCGACTTGTCACCACAACACACCTGTAGACACATTCTTACATTTGTCACCACAACACACCTGTAGCCACAGTTCTTACACTTGTCACCACAACACACCTGTAGACACAGTACTTACACTTGTCACCACAACACACCTGTAGCCACAGTCTTTACACTTTTCACCACAACACACCTGTAGACACAGTACTTACACTTGTCACCACAACACACCTGTAGACACAGTACTTACACTTGTCACCACAACACACCTGTAGACACAGTACTTACACTTGCCACCACAACACAACTGTAGAAAAAGTACTTACACTTATAACCACAACACACCTGTAGACCCATTACTCACACTAGTCACCACAACACACCTTCAGACACAGTACTTACACTTGACAACACAAAACACCTTTAGACACATTACTTACACTTGATACCACAACACACTTTTAGCCAGAGTACTTTCACTTGACAACACTACACACCTGCAGACACAGTACTTACACTTGTCACCAGAACACAACTGTAGCCACATTACTTAGGCATGTCACCACAACACACCTGCAGCCACATCACTTACACTTGTCACAACATCACACCTGTAGCAACGTGGCTTACACTTGTCACCACAACACACCTGTACCCACAGTCTTTACACTTTTCACCACAACACACCTGTAGACACAGTACTTACACTTGTCACCACAACACACCTGTAGCCACAGTACTTACACTTGTCACCACAACACACCTGTAGACACAGTGCTTACCCTTGACACCGCAACACACTGTAGACACATTCTTACATTTCTCACCACAACAAACCTGTAGCCACATTACTTCGACTTGTCACCACAACACACCTGTAGACACATTCTTACATTTGTCACCACAACACACCTGTAGCCACATTAATTAGACTTGTCACCACAAAACACCTGTAGACACATTACTTACACTTGTCACCACAACACACCTGTAGCCACAGTACTTACACTTGACACCACAACACACCTGTAGACACTGTACTTACACTTTGTCACTACAACACATTGTAGCCACAGTACACTTTCACACTTCAAACAAAACATAACAGACCTGCAGACACAGTACATACACTTGTCAATTTCAGAATACAACTGCAGCCACATTACTTACGCTTGTCACCACAACACACCTGTAGCCACAGTCTTTACACTTCTCACCACAGCACACCTGTAGACACAGTACTTCATGTCAGCTTGTCACCACAACACACCTGTAGACACACAGTACTTTCACTTCACACCACAACACACTGTAGACACACATTCTTACATTTCTCACCACAACAAACCTGTAGCCACATTATTTCTGACTTGTCACCACAACACACCTGTAGACACATTCTTACATTTGTCACCACAACACACCTGTAGCCACAGTTCTTACACTGACTGTCACCACAACACACCTGTAGACACAGTACTTACACTTGTCACCACAACACACCTGTAGCCACAGTCTTTACACTTTTCACCACAACACACACTGTAGACACAGTGCACTTACACTTGTCACCACAACACACCTGTAGACACAGTACTTGTCACACTTGTCACCACAACACACCTGTAGAGACAGTACTTACACTTGCCACCACAACACAACTGTAGACAATAGTACTTACACTTATAACCACAACACACCTGTAGACACAGTACTCACACTAGTCACCACAACACACCTTCAGACACAGTACTTACACTTTTATAACAACACAAAACACCCTTTAGACACATTACTTCTGGGCACTTGATACCACAACACACCTCTAGCCAGAGTACTTTCACTTGACAACACAACACACCTGTAGACACACCTTTACACTTCACTACAACAACACACTGTAGCCACATTACTTCTATTGTCACCACAACACACCTGCAGACACATCACTTTACACTTTGTCACAACATCACACTCTGTAGCTAACGTGGCTTACACTTGTCACCACAACACACCTGTACCCACAGTACTTACACTTTCATTCACCACAACACACCTGTAGACACAGTACTTACACTTGTCACCACAACACACCCAATCCGTAGACACAGTACTTACACTTGTCACCACAACACACCTGTACACAGACTTTACACTTGCAACCACAAATACACCTTGTAGACACATTGCAACATTCTGTAGACACAACACACCAGGCATACGATACAGTACATTTCTGTCACCACAACACACCTGTAGCCACATTAATTTCGACTTGTCACCACAACACACCTGTAGACACATTCTTACATTTGTCACCACAACACACCTGTAGCCACACACATTTCTTAGGACTTGTCACCACAAAACATCTTTTTGTAGACACATTACTTACACTTGTCACCACAACACACCTGTAGACACAGTACTTTACACTTGCCACCACACAACTGTAGAAAAAGTACTTACACTTATAACCACAACACACCTGTAGACACATTACTCACACTAGTCAACACAACATCTCTCATCCTAGCATCTAGCCACATTAATTAGACTTCTCACACTACAAAACCTTGTAGCCACTGTACTGACACTGTCACAACTACACAACTGTAGCCACAGTACTTACAATTGTCAATGCACAAGACACCCTAGACACAGTACATACACTTGTCACCAGAATACAACTGCACATTACTTACGCTTTGTCACCACAAATACACCTGCAGCCACATTACTTACATCTTAATCTGTCACAACATCACACCTGTAGCAACGGTGCTTACACTTGTCACCACAACACACCTGTAGCCACAGTCTTTACACTTCTCACCACAGCACACCTGTAGACACAGTACTTTAGATACACTTGTCACCACAACACACCTGTAGCCACAGTACTTTTCACTTGCCACCGCAACACACCTGTAGACACATTACTTACATTTCTCACCACCAACAAACCTGTAGCCACATTACTTTACATGACTTGTCACCACAACATACCTGTAGACACATTACCTTACATTTGTCACCACATCACACCTGTAGCCACAGTTCTTTTACACTTGGTCACCACAACACACAATCTGTAGACACACAGTACTTACACTTGTCACCACAACACACCTGTAGCCACAGTCTTTACACTTTCTTGACCACAACACACCTGTAGACACAGTACTTACACTTGTCACCACAACACGCTTGTAGCCACACATACTTACACTTGTCACCACAACACACCTGTAGACACAGTACTTACACTTGCCACCACACACACACCAGTAGACACATTCTTACACTTGTAACCACAACACACCTAGACACATTACTAACACTAGTCACCACAACACACCTTCGAGGACACAGTACTTACACTTGACAACACAAAACACCTTTTAGACACACATTACTTACACTTGATACCACAACACACTTTTAGCCAGAGTACTTTCTCACTTGACAACAGAACACACCTGTAGACACAGTACTTTCACACTTGCCACCACAACACAACTGTAGACACATTACTTACATTTCTCACCACAACACACCTGTAGCCACATCATCACACTGTCACACACGAATCGTCACCACAACACACCTGTAGACACAGTACTTACACTTGCCACCACAACACACCTGTAGAAACAGTGAACTTACACTTATAACCACAACACACCTGTAGACATTACTCACACTTCCTCAACACAACACAACTGTAGCCACACATTACTCACACTTGTCACCACAGAACAACCTACAACCAATAGTACAAGTTGCACTATGAATCCACAAAACAACTGTAGCCACAGTACTTTACAAATGTTACCACAACACACACCTGTAGACACATTCTTACATTTGTCACCACAACACACCTGTAGCCACATTAATTAGACTTCTCACTACAAAACCTGTAGCCACTGTACTGACACTCACAACACACAACTGTAGCCACAGTACTTACAATTGACACCACAAAAACACCTGTAGACACAGTACTTACACTTGTCACTACAACACATTTAGCCAGGAGTACTAACACTTCAAACATAACACACCTGCAGACACAGTACATACACTTGTCACCAGAACACAACTGCAGCCACACATTTACGCATACTTGTCACCACAACACACCTGTAGCCACAGTCTTTACACTTCTCACCACAGCACACCTGTAGACACAGTACTCACACTTGTCACCACAACACACCTGTAGACACACAGTACTTTCTATTTTATAACCACAACACACTGTAGACACATTCTTACATTTGTCACCACAACAAACCTGTAGCCACAGTACTTGACTTGTCACCACAACACACCTGTAGACACACATTCTACATTTGTTAACCACAACACACCTCTGTAGCCACAGTTCTTACACACCGTTGTCACCACAACACACCTGTAGACACAGTACTTACACTTGTCACCACAACACACCTGTAGCCACAGTCTTCACACTTTTCACCACAACACACCTGTAGACACAGTACTTACACTTGTCACCACAACACACCTGTAGACACAGTACTTTTACACTTGTCACCACAACACACCGTAGAGACAGTCTTACACTTCACCACAACACAACCAGTAGACACAGTACTTACACTTATAACCACAACACACCTGTAGACCCATTACTTACACTAGTCACCACAACACACCTTCAGACACAGTACTTACACTTGACACCACAACACAACCAGACACACCTTTAGGACACATTACTTACACTTAGATACTTACACTTAACACACCTTTAGCCAGAGTACTTTCACTTTGACTGTACACATTACACACCTGCAGACACACAATATCTACACTTGTCACCAGAACACAACTGTAGCCACATTACTTAGGCATGTCACCACAACACACCTGTAGCCACATCACTTACACTTGTCACAACATCACACCTGTAGCAACGTGGCTTACACTTTAAATTTCACAACACACCCAGCCCACAGTCTCTTTCACCACAACACACCTGTAGACACAGTACTTACACTTGTCACCACAACACACCTGTAGCCACAGTACTTTGGCACTTGTCACCACAACACACCTGTAGACACAGTACTTACCCTTGACACCGTCACTATAACACATTCTTACATTTCACAGTAATAAACCTTCAATTACATAACTTCATACCTGCACACCTGTACATTCTTACACTTGTCACCACAACACAACCTGTAGCCTCATTCATTATACTTGTCACCACAACACACCTGTAGACACATTACTTACACTTGTCATACAGCAAACACAACTGTAGCAAGAGTACTAACACTTATCACCACAACACCTGTAGACACAGTACTTTAAGACTTTCGTCACCACAACACACCTTCAGACACAGTACTTACACTTGACAACACAACACACCTTGTAGACACAGTACTTACACTTGTTACCACAAACACACTGTAGCCACAGTGATTTCTACTTGGACAAATTACAACACTAACAACAGAACTTGTGGCCACCACAACACACTTGACACTTGTCACTCACAACACAAACCTGTAGCCACATTACTTCGACTTGTACTGCAAACACAGCTGTAGACACTCTTACATTTCACCACAACACACCCTGTAGCCACAGTACTTACACTTGTCACCACAACACACCTGTTCACAGTTGTTACACTCTGCCAATTGCCACCACACACACCTGTAGACACAGTACTTACACTTGTCACACACAACACACCTGTAGATTACTACAGTCACTTAACACTTCTCTCCAGACACAACACACCTGTAGACACAGTACTTACACTTTTTACTTGTCACCACAACACACCTGTAGCCACAGTACTTACACTTGTCAACACAACACACCTGTAGCCACATTACTTACACTTGGTCACCACAACACACCTGTAGAAAAAGTACTTACACTTATAACCACAACACACCTGTAGCCACAATACTTACACTTCTGTCACCACAACACAACCTGTTCAAGTATCACAGTACTTACACTTGACAAACACAACACACCTTTGTAGCCACATTACTTACACTTTGTCACCAACAACACACCTGTAGAAGCATTACTCACACTGGTCAACACAACACAACTGTAGCTACATACTCACACTTGTCACCACAACAACTGTAGAAGCCACAGTACTTACACTTGTCACCACAACACACCTGTAGACACACAGTACTTACATAATTGTATACCACAACACACCTGTAGACACAGTACTTACACTTGTCAACATTAACACATCTGTAGACACATTCTTACACTTCTCACCACAACACAACCTGTAGCCACTGTACTTTCACACTTGTCACCACTACACACCTGTAGCCACATTAATTACGCACACCTGTCACCCACAACAACACACCTGTAGACACAGCAGTATCCCTACACTTATTACCACAACACACCTGTAGCGTTACTAGTAATTACACTTGTCACACACAACACACCTGTAGACACAGTACATACACTTGTGCACCAGAATACAACTGTAGAAAACATTACTTTACGCTTGTCACTACAACACACCTGCAGCCACATTACTTACACTTGTCATCAACAACACAATCTGTAGCTGCCACAGTTTTTACACTTGTCACCACAAACACATGCAGACACAGTAGAACTTACATCACTCACACCAAACACAACTGTAGCCACACCACTACCACACACCTGTACTTACAGATGCTTCTGGTTATTGTCACCACAACACACCTGTGGATACAGTACTTTACACTTGCCACCACAACACAACTGTAGACACATTTCTTTACATTTGTCACCACAACAAACCTGTAGCCACATTAATTAGACTTGTCACCACAACACACCAATGTAGACATTACTACTTACATTTGTCACCACAACACACCTGTAGCCACAGTTCTTACACTTGACACCACAACACACCTGTAGCCACAGTACTTACACTTATCACTACAACACATCTCTAGCCACAGTACTTACACTTTGTCACCACAACACACCTGCAGCCACAGTTACTTACACCTGTCACCACAACACACCTGTAGCCACAGTACTTTACACTTCCCACCACAACACAAAATGTAGACACAGTACTTACACTTGTCACCACATCACACCTGTAGCAACGGTGCTTACACTTGTCAAAACAACACACCTGTAGACAAAGTCTTTACACTTCTCACCACAACACATCTGTAGACACAGTACTTACACTTCTCACCACAAAACACCTTGAAGACACAGTACTTACAATTGTCACCACAACACACACTGTAGACACATTCTTACATTTGTCACCACATACACAGCCTGTAGCCACATTACTTTTACATTTGTCACCACAAGACACCTGTAGACACATTCTTACATTTGTCACCACAACACACCTTTAGCCACATTAATTAGACTTCTCACAACAACACACCTGTAGCCACTGTACTTACACTTGTCAACACAACACACCTGTAGCAGCAGTACTTACACTTGTCACCCCAGCACACCTGTAGCCACAGTACTTACACTTGTCACCACAACACACTGTAGTCACAATACCTACACTTGTCACTAATATCACACCTGTAGCCACAGTCCTTACACTTGTCACAACAACAAACCTGTAACCACAGTACTTAACACTTGTCACCACAACACACCTGTAGACACAGTACTTACACTTGTCACCACAACACACCTGTAGTCACAGCACTTCTTAAACTTGTCACAACAACACACCTGTAGACACAGTACTTACACTTGCCACCACAACACACCTGTAGCTACAGTTATTACACTTGTCACCACAACACACATGTAGCCACATACGTACACTTGTCACCATAAGACACATGTAGCCATTATTACTTACATCTGTCACCACAAGACACACATGTCGACATATTCTTACATTGGTCACCTCAACACACCTGTAGACACACATTACTTACACTTGCCACCACAACACACCTGTAGAAAAGTACTTACACTTATACCCACAACACACCTGTAGACACAGTACTTACACTTCTCACCACAAAACACCTTAAGACACAGTACTTACAATTGTCACCACAACAACACACCTGTAGACAGACACAGTACTTACACTTGACACCACAACACACCTGTAGACACAGTACTTACACTTATCACTACAACACATCTCTAGCCACGGTACTTACGCTTGTCACCACAACACACCTGCAGCCACAGTACATTTACACTTGTCACCACAACACACCTGTAGCCACAGTCTTTACACTTCTCACCACAACACAAATGTAGACACAGTACTTTACACTTGTCACCACATCACACCTGTAGCAACGGTGCTTACACTTGTCAAAACAACACACCTGTAGACAAAGTCTCTACACTTCTCACCACAACACATCTGTAGACACAGTACTTACACTTCTCACCACAAAACACCTGAAGACACTGTACTTACAATTGTCACCACAACACACACTGTAGACACATTCTTACATTTGTCACCACAATACACCTGTAGCCACATTACTTACATTTGTCACCACCAGACACCTGTAGACACATTCTTGCATTTGTCACCACAACACACCTTTAGCCACATTAATTAGACTTCTCACAACAACACACCTGTAGCCACTGTACTTACACTTGTCATCACAACACACCTGTAACCACAGTACTAACACTTGTCACCACAACACACCTGTAGACACAGTACTTACACTTGTCACCACAACACACCTGTAGTCACAGTCCTTAAACTTGTCACTACGACACACCTGTAGACACAGTACTTACACTTGTCATCACAACACACCCGTAGCCACAGTAATTACACTTGTCACCACAACAAACCTGTAGCCATAGCACTTACGTTTGTCACCACAACACACCTGTAGCCACAGTTCATACACCTGTCACCACAACACAGCTGTAGACAAAGTACTTACATTTGTCACAACAACACACCTGTAGACACAGTACTTACACTTGCCACCACAACACACCTGTAGCTACAGTTATTACACTTGTCACCACAACACACATGTAGCCACAATACGTACACTTGTCACCTTAAGACACATGTAGCCACATTACTTACATCTGTCACCACAAGACACATGTAGACACATTCTTACATTGGTCACCTCAACACACCTGTAGACACATTACTTACACTTGCCACCACAACACACCTGTAGAAAAAGTACTTACACTTATACCCACAACACACCTGTAGACACATTACTCACACTTGTCACCAGAACACAACTGTAGCCACAATACTCACACTTGTCACCACAACACAACTGTAGACACAGTACTTACAATTGTTACCACAACACACCTGTAGCCACAGTACAAACACTTGACACCACAACACACCTGTATACACAGTACTTTCACTTGTCACCACAACACACCTTTAGCCAGAGTACTTACACTTGTCACCACAACACACCTGTAGTCACAGTACTTACACTTGTCACTACCTCACACCTGTATCCACAGTACTTACACTTGTCATCACAACACACCTGTAGCCACAGTACTTACACTTGTCACCACAACACACCTGTAGACATAGTACTTACATTTGTTCTGTTGGTCTATTCTACAAACTATACAATCTTGGAATTACTGGGAAACTCTGGAGGATACTACGCCTATCCTATAGTTCAATGCATTCATGTGTAGGTTTTGCTGGTTTTAAGTCCGATCTATTTCACATTAGGGACAAGGCGTGGGCCAAGGTCGTGTTTTTGTCTGCCTGGCTATTTTCTCTCTATATAAATGATCTGCTACATGAACTAAATGATACTGGCTGCGGTCTGTGTCTGCCTTGGGGGAAATGCCCAGGAATATTGCTAGCTGATGACACAACGTTGCTCACCAATAATCCAACTGATCTCCAAAGACTGTTGAAGGTGACTGAACTATATGCAAATAAGTGGCAGCTAAAATACAATGTTGGTAAAAAGCGCTGCCGTAACCTTTGGACGTAGCAATGCATCCGTACCTGCTAACCTGTATCTTGGAGAAATTAATCTCCCTATTAAATGGTCTGTAGTTTATGCTGGAGTCCATATCAGCACTACTAAGTGCTCTACGGAGAAAACAAAACTTGTCTGTGAAAAGCTACGAAAATTGATAAATATGAACTATGGCTCTGGCCTCTACTTTGGCGGTATGAATCCTCTAGTGGCGGTACGTATTTGGAATCGTGTGATTCTACCTTGTGGTTTGTATGGATGTACAGTTTGGGGCCAAACTGTCCCTTAAAGAATATGAAATGCTAGAAATCATCCTGCGCTACTTCTGTAAGAAAGTCCAAGGCTTTAATAAGTACATGCCAAATGAAATTGTAAGAGATACAGTCGGGATAACATCCCTACAAGGATATATAGATCAACAAAGCCTCTTACTCCTTGGTAAACTCTGTAATGCCAACACAAGATACAGCTTTAAACAAATGTTTTTAGCCCGCCTTGGCCAATACCACTGTAAAGAACCACTGATATACAAAAATAAGTTTGATATGAAATCACCTGTTTTTGTTAACATGTTTCCAAATACAATCTGCTTAGTGAAATCCGTAACTACATTTGTGATTCTAAGTTTATGAAGAAAAATGCTTGGTCGCAACTAGTCAAAGATAAGGTAATTACATACGATCAAATGCAGTTGGTAAATGTACTTTCACAGACAAGGTTGTCTCTCTTCAGATATCTAACAATAAGATCAGGACGAGAACATAGACTATGGATACTCGCTTTAGAACGACCTCAGAACTTCACTGACATTGCGAGAATTATAAGGCTTGGTGCAACTCCAATAGAATCAAAGGAATGTCTATGTGGTACAGTTGCTCTCACGACATTATGAAACATGTTTTATGTCATGCCAGTATAACTTAGTAGAAAGGAATTCTCTATTTGAAAGAATCTGTGATACTCTTGACATAGACATTTTTGTTAAAATGTGGATGGAAGACGATGATGTATTCCTGTCATTGCTCCTCGGAGGTATACCCGACCACTGTAAGGATGTACTGGATTATAATGTTTGGTCAGAACTGATGGTAATGACTAGTCTCTCTGTTCGCAGTTAGGAGAGCATACTCCGGCAATGCTCATAAATACCTTCAGTTCTTTCACAAATGAATATTACTGTATAATATAAGTACTAATAATTAGAAAGTATTCTGCACTGTTGTTTACAATACAGATGTAATCTTCATTTTATGGAGGAAATAAAGAATATCTATCTATCTATCAACACACCTGTAGCCACAGTACTTACACTTGACACCACAACACACCTGTAGCCACAGTACTTACACTTATCACTACAACACATCTCTAGCCACAGTACTTACGTTTGTCACCACAACACACCTGCAGCCACAGTACTTACACCTGTCACCACAACACACCTGTAGCCACAGTCTTTACACTTCCCACCACAACACAAATGTAGACACAGTACTTACACTTGTCACCACATCACACCTGTAGCAACGGTGCTTACACTTGTCAAAACAACACACCTGTAGACAAAGTCTTTACACTTCTCACCACAACACATCTGTAGACACAGTACTTACACTTCTCACCACAAAACACCTGAAAACACAGTACTTACAATTGTCACCACAACACACACTGTAGACACATTCTTACATTTGTCACCACAATACACCTGTAGCCACATTACTTACATTTGTCACCACAAGACACCTGTAGACACATTCTTACATTTGTCACCACAACACACCTTTAGCCACATTAATTAGACTTCTCACAACAACACACCTGTAGCCACTGTACTTACACTTGTCAACACAACACACCTGTAGCAGCAGTACTTACACTTGTCACCACAACACACTGTAGTCACAATACCTACACTTGTCACTACATCACACCTGT